AGTGGAGGGCGAACTCGTCTTTAAATTACATTTTTTGCATTCTCATCGTGGCCGCCGTAGGGGTTTAAAATAGGATTGGCCGGAATGATAAATTCATATCTCGGCTTCCGCCGGTTACTTACAACTGCGGGATAAAAGCGGGATTGGCAATTAAGCTCGATGGCGCGATAAAAAGATCCTGACTGAAAATTTGACCTGTACTTCTTACTTACTCTCCCGACCGAATGATAATATCTCGCGAGAGATCGAGGCGGCGGACGAAGAGAGAAACGAATCCGCTCGAATACGCGTGAAATAAGTAACGAGACATCGATTGGGGTGGGAAAACGTGGCCGTAAATTTAAACGCGCGTTCAAATCCAGAGCTAGAAGCGGCGGAAATAAATTCAAACAAAATGGCCAGCCTGAAGGCGCGGGATTGGAGAGCGAAGGTTCGACGAAACTTTCTCGAAGGGAAAGTTAGTTTCTCACGATTAGACTTTCACCTCCCCTTCCCCTTCCCTTTCCCTACTACCACTACTTTCGTTTCCTCTAGCTCTAAACCGCCTCGAGGATCGAGATAGAGGAGCTCGGTCTGGCCGAATGAAATTTTAATTTTTGATAAGACGCTCCCCTTACCAAACTTGTCCCTCCACCCTTTCCGCTGTAACAGCAGTACTGTTCCCTCCGACTGTTTCCTGCCTCTTTCTCGCTGTACCAAGGGTCGGCATCGGTTTAGAGATGATATTAAATATCACCTAGACGCGCAACGATTTAGGCGAAGGAGATATTCTCAGAGAAGAGAACAAATGTTGCGAGTGTTTTAGATTGATTGCCGAGGAAGGGATGTCAGGTTGCGCAATTATGCAGAAAGAGATATGCATCTATGAGAAGGAATAAATGGGTACGAGTAGTGCCGCGAAGTTTAGTTCAGAGAATTAATTGTCAAAGCTATGCGCCAAAGATAAAGCGCTTTTAATTAAAGGAATAATCGATAATTTTTTTGGCGTCTAGAGTTTTTAATGAACGAAATTGTTCATTAACGAAGTGTATTTCGAGGAGATATTTTCGAGATTTTTGCGCAATATTTTTAAAAATAAATAGTTCGTTCCGACAGCTTTTTGATAAATTAAGACACGATAAGCCGTCACAAGACAAGTCTATCCATCATTGTTCGCGTTCCTTCCTTCATTTCAACGTAACCTCTTAATGGGGCAAACTCGGGTCGACACTTCACGCGTAGACAACGGATAAACGGAATTCCTAATGTCGATCACCCTCGAGTAAACGACAACAAATCTCGCGCGCAGGCCTAATTTCTCGCATCACCGAATCTCTTAGTTATATCCGCCAGCCTATCAATGTCCTCGAATTCAACCGAAAATTCCAATCAGTCGGTGACTACAGGTATGATTGCGGTTCCATGAAGGAAAGCTGGTGTAAGGTGAAACCTGAGACGTAATGAAAGAAGAAGCTGCGCGGAATGCTGTCTGTTAAATTAATGGAGCAAGAAACGAGGAGACGACAGAAGGAAACAAAGAGGCCAAATGAGAAGAATAAAGAGAGAGAAAGAGAAAACAGAGAATTTTTCATAGATTGTGTAGAATAGATATGCGTATGCTGGAAGGCAAAATACATACGGAGAAGCGATGTGACGTAGAGGGGTGGTAGAAAACAGGGGTGGTAGGGGGACATGCGTTACGTCATGTGTGAAATTACAATCACCCACCCTTAATGCGCTTGCCTTGACTCATCCCATTCTGTTCAGGTACAATGGTGTGAGCGTGCACAGTTACATCCGGGTGTTAGGTCTATTTCTATAAATATATATATATATATATGTTATCATTGCACACATGCAACGAGGCACGTACGTATATGCACGTGTCTCGTATACGAGTTACACGTTCACGTTGTTTGGTATTCCGGGTATAGGTCTTTATACGCGAGATAATGAACACAATGTCTGCGGGAAAGTGTACGCCATAGGATGGGAAGGTCCGGTGCATCGGCCCTGAAGAACCTTTGGTAAACTTTGACGTGTAAACTAACTAGGACCCCCCCCGATCAATGTGCTCGCTTGTACGAACCGACTGGAAAATATAATCGTTTAATGTCCGTGGACGGTTTCGAGGCGGGCAGGTGAACCTAATAAATTGATAGGCCGAACGATACAATGGTTGTTAATTCCCTTGTCGAACACAACGGGACGTTAATTAATTATGTGCAACTTTAATACACTCTATTTGCTTGTTTATGTAATTATTCATATAATGTTTACAAAGTTCTTAAGCGTTTTACATAATGGCTCACAACGATGCACAATTTGTTCACGACAAATAATACGGGCAATCGCCAAGTATCGGAAAATTGAATTGACGATAATTTAAATCAATTTGTATATTTTTGTTGGATAAAAAAAATTCTTGGGAAAGTTTTAAATTGGATCGATAAATATTGGATCGAGAAAAGTGAATTCGATATCACGCTCGGATTGTAACTAACTGAATGTAAAGTATATGCCAAGAGCGGTCAGCACGGATGAGATTAATAAATATTAGAGGGACACGGAGATACTCGAGGGATGCGCGTGATTTAAAGAGGTTCATGCCGTTGAATGTTTTAATAAATAAACGACCGCCGAAGTAACAGCACACAAAATTGCTTGGGAAATTGTATTTTTTCACGAGTCGACGGGTAATCGTTTCTGTCCGACCTACCGACTTGGTATAATTAACACGTCTGGAATCCTCGAATGTTTGTAATGCCAGAAGCAAAGATAGCCGTACATAGTAAAATATAAAGTAGAATATGGTATTATTTCAAATTTCTACGTGTTTTATATTTATGAAATGTGACGTGTTCTATGAAATTTTTTTTTTTTTTATTTCAACGACGAATGATAAAAAGTAATTTTAAATGACCTACTCTATACATCAAACGTACGACTTAATCACGATGAACCAAGCGTCGAGTATCTCGAGTTCAACTTTCCACGATATTGCGAGTAATTACAAAAAAAAGGGGGAAAAGATGGAATCATTTAAATTAAACGGGCATACACATGTATATATATATATATATATTTGTGTTAATTACTTCATGATATTTTCTCCTGATGATCTAATGAAAATTTCCAATTTAATTCAACGTAATTCTAATGTGAGTTAACTAGCCTCGTTATTTTTATGGTGTTTGAATTTAATACAGTTTAACCTCAACTTCTGAAGATTCGCGGTCGGATTTGCTTAGCGAATAACTACGTGATATCTCAAACCATTTCCTAGTTCATACTTATATGAAATATTACATGATGGTTTTATGTAAAAAAAAAAAAAAAAGAAAAGAAAATGATGCAAGATATGCGCAAATTGCGAGTACACGTAACCGTTCGTATTGATTTTTGTACGCCTGTCGTAGGAAACGTGTGCCACGACCCTGCAACTCACTTTTGTAGCCCTCCCTTCTGGCAAATACACAATTACACATACTGCTCGTGCCACGCTTCCTGAATCCATTGTCTATTATAATCATTAACGGGATTTCGATTATCCGGCAGAACGCCTTGCCAGAACGAATGCACACGTAAGCTTTTTCATTTTCTGATTGTTAAAGATTTTATCGATTATTCGCTCCCTCGTCAAAGGTTCATTCTGTGCTGAATGCCTGATACAAATTATCATTCAACGATAGCGATATCTGATTTTATTGTATTTAGCGAATCATTCTAAAAGTTTTTACAATTTTAACTTTCATCACTATGTTTCTAATATCTTTCTTAATATAATTTAATTTTTATATTATATAAATCAGATTATAGAATTATAGCGTTATTAATAATTTTGATATAATTTTGAATAATCATCAAATGACATTTTTATCTTGATGTTTTAACATAACCTTGATTTGTTTTCGAATAATCTTAAACGACATTTAGCCTTAGTCATATTTATAAAAGTACATTGAACTGAATAAAACGTTTGATATAAATAAAATATTAAAGTTCAGGTAAAAATAAAATGGGCAATTCAACAGTAAGAACTTTCAACATGATTCCATATAATCGCATGAGATACGATTAAATCGGAGCAATCAATAAAAAACATTTGAAATTACTCACCCATTTTGAAGTTTTCGTTTGTTTTCGTGAAGTAAATAACAGACTATTTTTGAGAAAAACTTTATATAACGAGAAAAGTCTTGTACACATATTTTAATAGATGTATTCAATCCTTTATGTTGAGAAATCGTAAATTTGAATACATCGAACAAAATTTTCGAAACAATACTGAGTTTACATTTACTTAACAATATCGAATATATAACATATAAGTACATATCATTGTTTTCGTTAAAAAATCATAATTTATTATCACAAAATTTTATTCACACGTTCACTATTTTACACAATAATTTAAACATTGATAAATGACATCGATCTATTCTATAACGTACAATCGCCATTGCGATCAACTAACGCTTCAATTTTTGAGAGACTAAATATATTTTAAACTTTTCAAATATTTCAAAGAAAATATGAAATTGAGAAACAAAAATAACTATAAAAATTAAATTATCTATTTTATCGAATAATTATTCCTTATAAAAGTTGTATTTATTCGAATCAAATCAATTAACAATACTGCATATGACTAACGAACTTCTTGTTTGAACTTGCATCCAATTGGGAGCTAACTTCAAGGATTGCTTTTCTAAACTAGTGTTAAAAACAATGGTAGTTAATGAGTACGTATTCTCACGAGTAAAGTGAAGTGTATAGTGTATATGCATAGATATCAGTGGCCGAAATTTCGGAAAATCGTTCCGATAGTTGTTACGAGGGCAATCGTAGAAATTAGCGAACAATACGGACGAAAACCAACATTCCTGGATGTTGCTTGTTGGTGGGGATTGGAGGGGTGGCCAATAGCGTTTGCGCGGGAGAAAGGTACAAAACGGGGGACATATTCGTAGGGGGATCATAGGAACGCGGTCGTATCGTCGCTCGGCAGCGCCGCGACGCCCTCGAGGCGAACTAGACGTAACATTCTGTGCTCGACACTACTGAGACTTTTCGACGTTTCTAACCTTGTCTTGGCGCTGTGTGCTGTTCCGTTCGTTTATACAGTAATATAGTGTCGTGCGTTTTCTTTCACACTCTTCTTTTACAAGTCAGTTCTTTTGGTTTTGTGATTATCAGTTCGAGGTGAATCATTCAATTTTTGGACAAGAAAAAGAAAGAAAAATCTGGTGACGCGAAACGATTGTACTCGTCTTAGGAACGAAATACTCTAAATTTACACGGTAAGTGTCCTTTCTTTTCTTAAATACGAACTTTTCGAAGGTCAATTGCATCTTTCGCAATGGTTTTAAATTATTGTCAGTTGTCCGCGTCTTCAAACATTTAAACGGAATTCTCTTTGAATCAAATCGTTCCATAGGTCCATTCGCATGCTGCCTATTTCGCGCGAAATTTTTGAAGAAAAAAATTGTATATCTTGCAATATTATAAATTATATATCGATAAATAATTGTGTTTTATAATCGGTACTTTTGGTGAAAACGATAGTTTGTTCGTTATTAGTTTGTTAGGTCAACGAGGACATTAACGTCGCGCGAATTCGTGTTTAAATTCTATTCGAATGACGCAGTTGGCAATGTTGTGTATTGTAATATTTCGCTCGTAATACTTATGAATAACAAAACATTGAAGTATTATATAAACAAGATACGAGTTTAACGTGCCCTGAGATAATTTACTATTTTTATATTACGTACACGTTACAAAGATAAGAAACTAGTTGCACTTTAGATGAGCAAATTATTTTTCTATAGAGGGCAATAGTGTAATTTTCTGTGCATGGCCTTGACACAGTTGATTTGCCTGAATAGTCGATAAAATAAACTGTCTATAGTTTTAAGAAAACACATCGAAAATATTTCTCGTCAAAAATTTTCCGAATAGTTAGAAGATTTTATATTATATTTTATATTATATTTTTATTATATAATTTATCAATTTTACAAGTACTTGCAATTTATTTTTACGATTAAATTTTACACGAAACGAGGATTCCACAAAGTGACGATCAAACGACGATCGATCCTCTTGAATAATATTTAAAGACATAGCTAAAGGTCGGCCAACTTGGCTGTTAAATTCCCTGACACGCTTTTCTCCTTGAAATTCTATTGTATATTATAGATTTTACGGTTCATGAAACAATATCTTCGTGACTTTATGTTTATTATTTCTCATTTATATTCTTCGATCGTATTATTCTTGGTATTTAAAGATTTACCATCAAACATCTATCCCCAAACGCGAGACTAAATAAATCGTTTAGAAAATAACTAATGACGATGCCGACAAAGCGAGAGAAGCGACAAAGGGAATATAACCACAATTTCGTATCCCACCAATACACCTCTTTTTCTTTTCATTCTTTCGTTTCCATTCTTTCGTTTCCATTCTTTCGAAGCATCGAACGTGTTCCTTGCACAAACGACAAAACCTCGCTCTCTCCGTGCATTATTTTTTGCTTCTTCCCTTCTTTCTTATTTTTTTTCTTTCTTTTTTATTTTTTCTTCTTTATCGCGACACCAAGGGTGAAAAAATTAGCCACGGATGTTTTTTTTACCTTGCTCATCTCCATCATTTCTTCTCCCGTTCTCATTCTCGTTCTCGTCCTTCGCCTCTCGCTTCCCATCTTCTTTCCTCTAAGCTTTTCCTTTGTCTCCCTGGAAACCTTGCGGTAGTTATGCGACGTTCAGCCCAGCCGCTTGGCTGGTGGGGTTGGAAAAAGGGGAAGGAGGTGACTCGAAGTTGCGTGGGTGGGGGGCATCGGGGTTGAGGGTTGAAGGAGGAGAGGATACGGTCCTGAACGTGACTTGGATGCAATATTTAAAAGCGGCACAACGTCAATACTCCACTCTCTCTTTCTCTCTCTCTTCTTTCTCCTTCTAGTGCTGTTTCCCTTCTTTTTCGGCGACATCTTTGCGATCCCCTTTACGATCGGTTACAACAAGACGATCCTGAATCGTGGTGGTTCGGTCTGATCTTAACCCGACATCCTCCCCTTACCACTAAGGGGATCGTTGTTCGGTCTGAAGGGAGCTGGTCTAATGTTTCCTGAAATTCGTTACTTCGTCCCTCTTCGGTACACCACTGACCGGTAGCCGTTTCTCCAACCAAATTCCTCCGTTTAACTTTCGCATTCCTCGAAAATCTTATCCCCTTTGCATCGGTAACAGGAAATTAGCCAAGGGTGCGTGAAGAATTCTCGTATATTTCGCGATAAAGAACATGAAATATAAGAATGAGCGCAATTTATCGTCCGGTAATTCATTCGGGACGACGGTTAAATTTTAGATCACTCCGACCGAGAGTTATTGCCGTACTCGTCTTTCCTAATATCGCTAAAATATTCCGCTTCGGGAATATTTTATCAATTTTTGACGCTGCTCGATAATTTATTTCTAATGTCTTCCTCTGTGGCGGACGGGGATACGGGGGGAATACGGGGTGGCGAAACGGAGAAAGAAAGAAAGAAAGAAAGAAAAAAAAAGGAACGAGCGGCGTGATATAAAAGGGCGAGAAAATGCAGGAAGTTATGACAATTATGAGAAGGGGAGGAAGAAACGTCTAGGTGTGCGACGGCTCGTGAAATGAAATCGGGGACGGGAGACGATCGTTTATAAGTTCGACAGATGGAATTTCTCTTTTCATCCGTTTCTTTGCTCCTTATATTTTTTTCCTCCCGCGTGGAACTACGGATCATTCGATAAATGGGCCCCCTATGATCCAATTAAGACGAGGGAAAAATGGAGGAAGCGTACATTCCATTTGATTTTTGGGAATGTTATTAAGGGAAACAAAAATCTTGCAGTTCATTCGATTATATCGAATTCGGTTCGACTTCTTTTCTGAGTATTTTTCCCTTTCTTGACTCGATCACTCACAATCTCACCAGTTCTTTGCCAGTAAGTCCATCGGGAAATTTTCAAACGACATTTCCCGTCGCATGGAAAGTCATGAAAGGAAAGAGAGTTTTAATTAAAAGGAAACTAGACAAAGTTCGATCGTTCTATTCTTACATACGTATTTTTCATTCTTTATCCTTATTCGAATTTTTATTATTTATTACGATATATTCGAAGATTGTATAGAATTGATTTTTCGTTTCATTTACGATTATTCGATTAAAGTTTTATTAATCATATTTCCAATACTATGATTTATTCACGAATTATGTCAAGCTTGATGCAGTTTCATTTCATTTCATATTATTTCGAAGGAAGGATACGATATGTTTTCTCGCGTATTTATTAAAATAAAATGCACTTTATAGGTAAAAATTTTTATTTTGATTAATGCTGTTAATTTAATATCAGTAATATTAAATTTAATCACGGTATATATCGAATAACATTAAAGTAAGGCTTTAACATTATCGTATTCTATCATCTGCATAATCACTTTATTAGATATTATTTGTAATTACCAATGTTCGATATCCAGATTTAATTTAGATTTATTTGAAAATCTCGTATTTAAATATTACTTAATTTAAAAAATATTCGAATTCCTTATCGAGTTTTAATGTCATTATCGTGCTAATCAATAACGTAAATTTCAACAAATATTTTGAACTTTTGTTCTTTCAATTGGCGATACTTAACTATGATCGTAAAAAGTAATTATATCATAACGTGGATATAGCCAAGGGTGGAATAAATTTACGATGACCTTTACGAAACTCTGTTTCTCAGAATTCGTAAAATTTAAAGGCTTATTTCTTTAGCGAACCGTTAGAGAAAGCGAATTCTCCGGCAGAAATTGGCGAAATAGCTGGTAAAACGCTAACACCCTCTGTTCGACCTTACTTTGCACCCTCTTGCGCTCGGTTCGCCATTGTCAGTAATTCTCGGATATCGTTTTATCTGAAATTTAATCCGAGGTCAAATCCCCTTATTTACAAAGAAAACACGGGAAACGAGAAATTATTTTCATCCTCCGGGGATATCTGGAAATTATTCGGAAAATTTATTCGAATAAGAAGGATGGAAAAACGCGTAACTAACACGTGATGCAAAAATTGCATCGAACATTGAATTACTCTGATCCCATCGAATTTCTCTCGGTGGATAATGGAACGTGTTTGAACTCCATTCCCATTCTACGACCGTTTTTTTTCTTATATTTCGTTTTATTCCCATGCTCTTGCCCTTGACTTTCTCACCCTTACCGTCTTCGAATATCTCCTTATCCCGAGCTTAATTCGCGAAAGGAACGGTCGATGGAGGGCGTGTCTGGATGTTCAAGAAGAGCAATTACGAGGAGAGAAAAATTTCACGCTTCACACGGGAGGGATGCTCGCTATAATAACAACATATTCCATGATTTTTTTTAAAATCAACTCGACAATTTCCAAAGGGACGTAACGGAATTTAAGGAATTTATGTTCTCGAGGTATTTCTATTTCTCGAACTTTGTTAACTTTTTACGTATTCGTTTTTTTTTCAACATGATCGTATTAAGTTTTTTTTTATTCGATGGCACAACTTACACCCTCCGCCATTATAAATGATGCATATTCCAGCTTATTCGCGACGCTTTAGCCAAGGACTATCTGTAATCAATATTTGCGTGTCGCTTTCACGTACAATACTAACTGCTATTGACCGAAATGCCACTTGGTCTTGAACGCCGCGCCGTTTCCTTCGATAATGACCCTATAAGGATTCCGAAAGGGATCCTCGAATCTATAGATTTACACTTAATTCTGATACGTTCCCCATTCTGGAAAACCCGTTTAGATAGTAACTGTACCGTGATACCGGATTTATGAACTTGCCACTCTCCTATTAAATTCAATAATGGCGCGAAGGGTGATGATTTACGAATCCTTTTGCACCGATCGAACAGCCTCGATCGAGAAAATTTAACGGAACGGAAATTCTAACAGAAGAAGTGGGAGGGAAAGAAATTCGTTCGTTTTTCCTTTAAAATCGAATCTCGGCGTAAATAAATTTCGTACGTGAGATCGTTAAGCGTAAAGAGTATAAGACAGGACTGGTAAAATATTTATTTTCTAATGTAATTACGTATTGCGCCCCAGCAACGTTTAATCGTTGAACGTATATTTATACGTCACAGCGAAAGCTTTACGAGCTTGTTCGTTCGTTGCAACGACTCGCAAGAAAAATTGTAGCGAAAAGATGATTTAAAGTTAACCGTGTACGGATATAAGTTCGAGTAATGCAGAAATCTTAAATGAATGAATAAAAAAAATAACATCGCG